ATTTTTTTATAACTCATCCGTTTAAATTATATTAAGCCTTAAAGTTCTGCATAATTAAGGGCGTGGCCACTTGAGTGACAGGTGGATTGCCGCTGCTGTCACCACCGTCGAACTAGGCGGGCGTGGTTTCAGCAACCAGCTTCTGCCTCTTTGCCCATTTTCGATTATCCGGGAGTGACGCGCTGCCAAGATGGCGACTGCCGGCTCCGCCCACTTTGAGATTCAAAAACGCTCTTTAGAAACCTACGGGTGACGTCACGGACACTACGTCCATGTTTTTTTTACAATCTATGGTGGTGATGCTGAAGGCGAGCGACCGTGGTGCTGTAGTTCGTTTATAGTCAAAGTTTAGCTTTTAAGTTCTGGCGCTTTTATTTTTTGCGATAATCCAAAAGCCTATGGAAAAATCCTATAGGCTTTTTGTCGAGGGAACCAGTGTCATGCTAACAGCCGATCCGCCTACAAAGTAACGTCATAGGTCCCCCACTCTATTGCTAAAAGAATAGGCTTGCTTGAGATGAGTAAAATCTGCGTAGAATCGATCACAAGTGATCACCGCGAGGCGCATGCCGGTTAGAAAAGTGTCCGAGTTATGTCTGACTTGCTCTGATGTCATGCTGACGTGTGCCAAAAAACCTTTGCGACGGTGAGGCAGCTGTGTCGGATTGTGCAGTCGAGCTCTCTGGTAAATGTTGTGTGTTTTATACACATACCTCTGATGACCGAGAACAGTGCACTCTTTTCTGCCTCGATTTCGCCAGGTGGGCTAAAAGCAGACTACACGTAGCCCGTCCAATTTAGAGCGAAATCGTGGCTACATATAGACCATGTCACGAAATGACACTTAACTGTTGTAGAGATATTATTGACACTGCGAACATGATGGGATATCAACCATCTCATGCGCTGTCTGGCCAAAAACTACAGTGAATCAGGACTGACTATCAGTGGGCTACAAATAGCCGGTCTGACCACGAGCTAAATCATGGTTATGCACAGGCTATAACATTTAAAAAAGTGAAACCAAACACCTTGTAATCACTGTCGACTTTGCTTACATTATGGAATATCATATATTTTGCAAGTTATTTTGCCAAAAAACGACATGAAAACAAATTCAAGGTTATTTGGGCTAGAAGTGGGTTACACATAGCCAGACTATATCGGGTCTATACTTAACCGAGACGTTGAAATGACGGCTATTGCTTGCTGGGTTTTTATCAGATTAATCGGAAAAAATAATCGGCCAGCTAATTGATTATCAAAATTATCGTTAGTTGCAGCCCTACTGTCAAACTCACAAATCGGCTGAGTAGCCTACATTTCATACAAATCATACCTCGTCTTCATTGTGAACTTCCAAATGGGCCGTTTTGACTCATCAACATGAAAAACAACATACAATGCTTTAGCCATTCTTTATTATTCATGTAGAAAGCAAAGATAAATAAAGATGAGATGTGTTTAGGGTATTATTCTGCAACAAGTAGCCTAACAAAAGTATAATGGATAACAGTTACTCTCAATCACCAGTTCCTTAAAACCATTGGTCAGTTGCATAAACATAGCCGTTAAGACTCTTAAGAACTAGTTTGACCAACTAGCAGTTAGCCAAGAGCTAATTAGTTTTACTTTTATGATTCAAATTGGGCCAATCTACCATTTTGTAATTGACTTTTAAAAGTTTTGACCAGTCTTTAAGAAAACAAATTAGATGACAAAATTTTTAAGACTAGTCTAGGCAATTTATCCAAAAGACCACATGTAAAAACATTTTTAGTGACTCAACATAGTGTAACATTTTTCGCATACAGCACATTTTCTTAAGGCATTTAAAAAACCTTTACTATAAGTTGCATTGAAACAGCTCTTAAGGATAAAATATGCGTTAAAAAAGCAGAAGAATGAAATAAGTGCAATATTAGTACATCTTAGAAATGCTTGTCCCATTTTTTTTTGCTTCAGGGATGAGTGGACTGAGGTGTAACTTCATCTTGTTGCACTTAATCTGCCAATGATATCAGAACATCATTAAGGCATCATTAATATTGACACATTCAGTACACATGCACAAACAAACCACTTTCTCTCTCTTTTTATCTCTTACCTGCAAACACCTCGACTTCACACAGAGTGAGGTATTTATTGGTCCCAGGTAGAAAAATGTTGACATATCTCCCCTTAACAGGCTTAAAATCAAATGTTTTTGTGCCTCCAGATGGGATGAACCCAATAGTTGTAACCCTGATACACACAGAGAAAGAGAAATAGAGAGCGACATAGCAATCAAAAAGGCATGTAGCAAATGAAATACTTTTCTGACAAAGTCAAGTTTGTATTCAAAGAATTTATTTAAAGTAATTTTATCTTATTTATTCTTATATTCTTAATTTTCTAAACATTTGTGTAAGTAGAGAGTGAGAGTGCAAGACAACACTTACGGATCATTGCTGTTGCCATTATTTTCCAGGCTGTTGCCGATACGGATCTGAGCACCAACTATCCTCTCTTCACAACAGTCTCCTCGATTAGTGATACTAACACTGGTTACCTTGTGCACTTCCTTCAAGTCAACTCTCCACCAGGGATCGTCCCCTGCAGTGTGAGTGCAGGACCCGAGCATGTAATTTGACTCACTATTGCCATCAACAGCATTTTGAGCAGCTCCTAAATGATTGTATGTGGAAGACTGGACAGCTTCAGCTCCAACAGCGAGATTCTCTGTTCAACATAAAATAAAGTACATCTCATGCTAAAATATAATCCCATGATGGGACATTATGCTAAATCCTGTAATCGAAATGATGGATTATAAGTTTTCAAATGTTTAAATTCTATCAACAGCTTCAAACAATATTTATGTGCTAGGCCTACTGACAGCACATTTCAAGCAATGAAGAACACTTACTTGAATCACAAGAGCACTCTGATGTCTCATTTACTGTTTTAAAAAAATAGTTATGCACAAATTAAATAAGCACATAAACTATTTTTTTGTACATAAACATAAAACCAGGGCCGGATTTACGCATAGGCATTCTAGGCACGTGCCTATGCTCGCTCGTCCAGGGGGGGCCCA